AAAAATAAAAAAAAAAAAAAACCAATTGAGGTCAATAAGTTAATAACAGGTAATTATTGCATGTTCTATTTTTCATTAATTTTTTTTCTTACTATCTTCTTCTTTTTTTTCTTTCCTTTTTTTTTCAATCACAATTTATTCTCGTCATATAAAAGAATAAATGATAACAGAAGGAAGGAATTATATTAAATAAAGTAGTGAAGAATAATCAATCGTCTTCGAAATAATCATTTATTATTGAAAAAGAGATAATAATGGTGATAATGACAGGGAATGGGATTAGAGGAAGAAACTGATTGTCTTTAAATGTAGCTCTTCTAGGTTTTTTTTTCATTTTGCTACCGAATAATAATATTAATAGTAACAACAATAATAATAATAATTAATAATTAGCAATAATAGTAATAAACAATTAATAATAATATCAATAATAATAATGATAATAATAATAATAATAATAATAATAATAATAATAATAATAATAATAATAATAATACGCATTGTCAAAAAGTTTGCTATATGACAGATCATGTCACTACTATTATTATAAAAGAAAAAATTTATGAAAATGACATTGTTTTGTTAATGGTTAATTTATACGAAAGATTATTAGTCCAAATGAAAATAAATAGTTTTAATGCCAATAAACATGATGATGATTTAAAGGGAATTAGGAGAACAACATTTTTTGCATACATACTGAATAATTAAAAACTTCCTTAAAAAAAAAAACAAAAAAAACCAAAAACAAATATTTTTCTAAATTAATTTACCTGAAATCAAAAAAAAAAACGAAGTTTTTCGATTAGAATAGCACATTGTGTTAATACATACATAATTTTGCCTAAACAATATTTTACATTAAAAATTTTGTCGTTACAAAATCAAACTTTGAATTAGAAAAGAAAACGCAGTGAAAGATAACATCATCCTATACAAACATTATCAAATGTTCAGCAAATGCCTTCTCGAAATTGCAAACATTTTTCGAAAATTTTATTTCAACTTTTTTATTTCTTCTTCTTCTTCTTCCTCTCTTACTAAACAAAAAATCAAATTCTTTTAACGAGTAATGTGAGTTCATTCCAAATTGGTTTTTTTTTTTTCGTTAATTTAGGAACATTTCTTTAAACTATAAATAAAATCAAATTTCAATTAAAATGGCGTATTTGCACGAAGTATGAAAATGATAATTAAGTCATTATATTATCGCTATTTTCATTTCATCATTAAGTTATCGTTATCACTAATTTTGATTTATATTTTTCCAATATATTTCTCAAAAAAAATTCCAAAATATTTCAAAATAAGTTTTATACTATTCCATCATTTGTTATCCCAAAATAAAAAATTAAATTGAAATAGAAAATTAAAGAATTGGAAATTTTTAAATTTGATTGATATTTTTGCAAATAATTATTACCAAATGTATATTTTTTTAAAGGTTAACAAGTATTTGTACGAATTAACTTTGGCAAACGTACGTGTCTTTTTTTTTCATACTAAGCGTACGTTTGCACAAATCTTTTATCAAATTCTATTGCATAGGGTGTTTTTTTTCCACTTACGAGTTTTTTTTAATGCTAAAATAAGCACAAAAATTGAAAAATGGCCGTAACTTGTATTTAAATTTTCAAATAATTTTTAAATTTCTAATATTAAATATAATATGAAGTAACATTAACAAAGGAAGGGGAAAAAAAACTTTTCACCTAATTACTAAGCTTATTGTACAGATTAGTTGTATACCAATTGTTTATTTGTTTAAATTAAAATTTTCAAAATTTTACTAAATTAAACAAATGTCAAAAATTAAAATTCATTAAGTATTGAATTACAATGAAATAAAATTTATGATAACAGAAAAAAATTAATTTATGAACAGAAATTGTTGAATAAAAAAAGAAAAAAAAATCACCTTTTGGAATAAAAATGAGAAAAAAAAAGAGAAAGAAGAGAGAAAATTTGAAAGTAAATTTAACAAGAAAGCAAAAAGGAACAATGAAAGAAGGAATGAAAATGTGAAGGATATTTTGTGGAAAAAAAATAGTTTGAAGTTAAAATGAATTTTCTTCGAAATGATGGTTGAAAACAAATGTTCCTGTACTATTCTTTCTTCCCAATGCAATGATCAATTAAATATCATATTATGACTTTTTCAAAATGTAATAATAATTATTATAGATCTTTCTCATTCTTTTCTCAAACAATTTCGAAAAATTATATTATTATTCGTTGATAAATGAATTGTACTTTATTAAATTTAATCAGTGATAATCAATGATAAGTAATTAATATTGTGATAATAAAAATATTAATCATTTACTGTTAAAGTAAATGATAGGTATTTTGACATTTTAAAGTTTAATATATGAAATATTTAACGAATCATTAATTACTCATCTCATCTCTGATCGTAAAAGTTTACATTAACTTGGACAAATTTCTTTCTTTCTTTCTGCTCCCTTTTTTATATTGATATAATGATTCATACTTAGGTATGTAATGATAGAAATAAGATAAATTCAGGAATAAATTCATCAGGAATTCAAGGATGATAACAATAAGTCTTCCGGAAAGCATACAAAGAATAACAGTGAATAGAGAGAGAGAGAGAAAGAGAGAGAGAGAGAGAGAGAAGCGGAGAAGAAGAGGAACGCTAACTGGTAGGTGCTTGGTGGTAGCGAACAAGCATTTATATGCCCAGCGTAGCGTTGACAAGGTATCGGAACAGAACTGTCATCGGTGTCCGGTATCCGGTTCAGTAATGGAAAATCAATGGCTAATATAGCTGGTATTTAGGATTGTTAGGTGATTTGTAATGTGATCGATGTAAGACGAAAAATTTAAAAATTTCGGAATTGATTGCATCGCAATTTAACTAATATTAAAGGAAAAAATCGCGTAAATGAAATTTTGTGACCTAGGAATAGATCGCAAACAGCCAATGACATTAGAAGTAGTTAGAAATCCAAAAAATTTAAAAATGATGTGACTATAGGACATTTCTTCCTGCCATAATTATTCTATGAATCATTCGTCACCAAATCATTGCACAATTAAGTGAAGAAAAATGATAAAAGACGCAAAATTTGCAATCAGTAATCATAGAAAATATAAGAAATTAATGATTGAAAATAATATGAGCAACAAAAGTGGCAAACGATTATTTGATATGCAATTTTTGTAAATTATCCAAAATCCATAAATATCCAATAGATTTATAAGAGGCGAAAATGTTAGATATTGGTTAATCAGCACATTATGCAAATGAAGTTTATATTTATCCCTTATTTATAAATGGAAAATAATTGAGCGAAAAACTAAAGCGTAAAAAATCAATCACTACAATATGTAATGACATAAAATGAAATGGTATGCAAATTCAGGGGATTATTATTGTTCAAATAAATTCAATACTAAAATCAACGACAGTTTTTTTTTCGATGAACCATTTCAAATATTAATATTTATCTTAGGCCCTTTTTTTAATTTAGTGTTTTTAAAATACTCTATGCATTTAGATGCATAGTAAATTCAACTTTAATGTTATTAAATTTCACGAATTTCATTTTATGAAAGGCACCTTGGAATTTATACCCAAAAATGAAACTGTAATTTGAGGCTAATCTCTTGTTGCAATCTATGCTTGCAATTCAGTAGTTGACAGTATTTAGAAGCAATATTTCATGCTAATTTTTATCATCCTTATCTAAAAATTTACAAATTTTTGGGCCCAACTTTTTTTTCAAATGTTTTAGGATAAATGGACTAAAAGTGTTAGCGATAATTACTTTATAATTATTATTACAGTGTTAATATCTAAAGAAAAATGAGAATCTGGAAGAAAATATTCCTATTTAGCATTACTTTTACAAAAAAAAAACTGCGATGATACAATCAACAAAAACAAAAAAAGAAAACATCAAACATTTGTGAAGTATACAATATTTTTTGAGAAATGATTTCATCAATAAACATTATACAATATTTACATATCTAATTTGAACACCGCATATGTGTCACCTACTGTATGTCATCTACCTTTTGCAATGTCTGCAAACAACGGTTTGTCACAAAAAAAAAAAAGTTTTAATCGATGACGACGAGAAATAGAAACATTTTGTTAGGAAAAAAGAGAAAATATTTCGCAAGTAATTGGAGAAAAGTATTTCGCCATAAAAGAAATTTAATTTCTTAATATACACACACGGACAGACACACACACAGACACATACACACACACACCACAGATACATACAAACAGAAACACACACGGACGTGCATCAAAAATGTTATGAATTTGTCAAATTCATCAAAAATTTGTACTTTAAATATACATTTTGTATGGAAATATGTAATTCAAAAAGTATAATTTCATTCGAAAAAAAAGGAAAATAAAAAGATAAAAAAGAAAGGTAAAAAATAGTTATAACAAATGAATAAATATTGAATTAAACAATCAATTTTCAGCTTTGACAAGTCTATGATGATGAAATATTTCAAACTTTTAACAACTTCTCTCTCTCTCTCTCTCTCCTTTTATTGAAAAGAAAGAACTGATTTTCTCATAGGATAGAATTATCATAGATCAGATAATATACGTTTATGTTAGGTGAACTAAACATTAAACGATTGTTTGTGATTAGTAACTTAAATATAAGAAGTATAATTGAGGGTTACAAGCTTATTCTACATTTGCATATGAAAAGTAATTAGATAATTAAGTAATGTATGAATATCAAATTTATACTTTCTTTATAAGAAATAAATTAATAATTTAACATGAAGTAGTTTTTTTTTTTGGAAAATTTTGGGATAAATTTCAACATTAAATTTCTCTTAAACACTTTATATCTTTAATTAAAGATTTGTTAACAATCACTTATCAGGATTTGTTTTTGTTATCATTATGATGATAACGATACAATTATAGTTATGCTCATGAATTAATACCTTTTATTTATTTCTGCTATTGCACAAATAATCCCATTTGTTTATGTAATTATTGCTTTCCATTGATTTTCAATTCGATATTGCAAGATTTATTTTCTTTCATTCATTTCTTTGATCAGTCTTTTCGGCTTTTCCATTTCTTCTAGCTTTTTTCTTTCCTTGACCGGTTTTTTCGGCATAAAAAGTGAGTGAGAATAAATCTTATAAAAAAATGGTATATTTTAAGGCGCTTTGTATCAGCTCATTTTAAATGTTCAATTTTTATCACAGCTAATGCTTATGTCTGGACATTTGCGCCGCATTAGGTTACTTCATATGTAGCCATAAATGATTCTAAATTCATATTCATTGCAATGTTTGGTACAATTTTGTCCATTCGTTTGTATTTTATCGTAAAAATAATTGCAATTTCATCACAGTTATTTTCAATATCTACTAATTGTCTTAATTTCAAAATTCCAACACGATAGGAAGTAATTCAAGTAATAGTAAAAAAACTTTGATGGATTCCAATGTTGGCTTAGCCTTGATAGTTTTTTTTTCTAGCATATGTTTCAGATCCAAAAAAAAGTACTTAATTTACTAGATTTTTGCAATTTCGAAGCTTTTGACGACACAAATGACATTGGAAGATTTAATTATATTGTTTGTAAAATTATTCACACACTAACGATTACATTCTGGTAACAGTAATCACATTCCGCGGAAGTTATGCAAGATTATCTGCGACATCTCAGTCCATTGGGGACATTATTCAAAAATTTACCGAAAACATCGGGAAACAATGAAAAATTATTCAGCACTGCAATAATTTCAGTTCTTGCTTAAGACATTAAGTTATACTTATGCCGAATAAGGCGCAATGTTTTTCGAAATGTAAAAATGTAAGTTCAAAAAGGGAAACGATTTTTGCGCTTAACTGAAGGGCGCAAAAAGCAGTTAATGAAAAGACGATAGAAATAAGATATAAATTGATAGAAATTATGTGTAAACTTTTTGAATGAAATTATGCGGAATGGTTCAAAAATGTATTTTATTATAGAATGCATACAATATTGAAAATCAAGCAGATGAGTAAATGTCGCAGTAAGCTCATAGCATTGCGACTGTCATCACTCAAATTGACAATAGGCATTTCCATGAATTACATGACCTTTGATCAGGCCAATCCTGTCAATATTCTTTCACATTAACACCGCCTATTACATTATTATAATAGAATAGATGTGATGATGTAAAATCGACTATGTTTTTATATTTCGTCACATTTAATTTCAAACTAAGTTTAATTTGCAATTATAATTTCAAGAAGTTTACTGTTTGCAATTCATTTCTTACAAATCATTCACTGATTCATTTTAAAATATTTTTGAATACAGTAAAATATTCGAATTTATGCTTCCAATTTAAGTTCACAATTGCAATGTCACAAATTCATCAGTTGTTCAGACGGAAGTTGTGACGACATCGGATTGGCCAAAGTTGACAAACGTTCAGGAAGTGGTTGATTTTTTGTTTCCGGAATGAAAATGAGATAGAGTATCAAGTCGGACAATGCAAATAGAATTAATGCTACAAAAGGTGCTGCTGTCCAAAGGTCAGCC